TCGACCAACTTCGAGTCATCCTGGAGCGACTGGGTCAACTACGAGACCGAGACAAAGGTTGTCAAGCAGGAATGGAACGGAACCAAGGAGCAAGAGTGGGACGGAGAGCATATCATCGTCCAGTACTGGTCCCAGATCCTCGGAACCAGCGCCTACAAGGTCCACGCTGATCTCGACTACGACATTCCCCGCCGCATCCCGCATATGTTCGCCGTCGGCAAGTTCAACCAGTTCGGTTACGACAGCGGTTTGACCAAGTCCCTGTCGCACAAGGCGGAGTCGCTTTGGCAGTGGCACTACATGGACGAGTGGCCAAACTACTTCAAGTTCAGCATCTGGGGCATGAACCCTGACAAGATGCCCGATCAGTCGTTCGTCTACGGTGACGTCGACGGCGACAGCGTCGTTGAACGTCTGCCTCCCTCCTCGCTGTTCGAGAACGCCGTCAACATCACTTCCGCGCCGCCCAAGCCGTACCTCGCGTACAAGGTCATTCTCAACGACGCCACGCTGCAGTACCAGCTCATCCCTGTTGGCAGCATGTGGGTGCAGTTCTTCCTGTGGCTGTTCCTCTTCATCCTCCCCATCGTTGGTGGTCTCGCTGCCGTCCAAGCCTTCAAGCGCTCTTTCTACCAGGTCAAGTTCAACGAGACCGGTGTTGGTGCCCAGTCCAAGTTTGGCCAGATTGTCGAGAAGACCCGTAACGCTTTCATCGGCGCCGCTGGTGCCATTCCTCTTAAGATGAACAGCTCGACCGACCTCGTTTCTGCGGCTGCGGCTGCCACCACTGCCAACAAGCGCCGCAGAGTGCTGATTGCCACCATGGAGTACAACATCGATGACTGGAACATCAAGATCAAGATTGGTGGTCTGGGTGTCATGGCCCAGTTGATGGGTAAGGCGCTCAAGCACCAGGACCTCGTTTGGGTCGTTCCCTGCGTCGGCGATGTCGAGTATCCCGAGGACCAGCCCGCTCCCAGCATGTTCGTCAAGATTATGGATCAGATGTACGAGATCAAGGTTCAGTACCACATCGTCGACAACATCACCTATGTTCTGCTGGACGCTCCTGTGTTCCGCAAGCAGACCAAGTCTGAGCCGTACCCCCCTCGCATGGACGACTTGGAGTCTGCCATCTACTACTCTGCCTGGTAAGTTCGAAACCTCATTAAATCTCTTTCAACACGTACTGACACACATCCAGGAACCAATGTATTGCCGAGGCAACCAACCGTTTCCCTATCGACCTTTACCACATTAACGATTACCACGGAACCATCGCCCCGCTCTACCTGCTCCCCAAGACTATCCCCGTCGCGGTCTCCCTCCACAATGCCGAGTTCCAGGGTCTCTGGCCCATGCGCACACCCGAGGAGAGCAAGGAGGTTTCTAAGGCGTACAATTTGGATCTTGAAATCATCAAGAAGTACGTCCAGTACGGTTCAGGTAAGCATGCATTCGCCCCCGCGGGTCGTCGATCAGAGTCCTAACAACACGCAGTTTTCAACCTTCTCCACGCTTCCGCCAGTTACCTCCGCATCCACCAGAACGGCTTCGGCGCCGTCGGTGTCTCCAAGAAGTATGGTGACCGTTCGTTCGCCCGTTACCCCATCTTCTGGGGTCTCTCCAAGATCGGCCAGCTGCCCAACCCCGACCCCACGGATACCGCCGACTGGGACAAGGAGGATTTCATGAAGCAGAAGAAGCCCGAGGTCGACCCCGCGTGGGAAGCCAGCCGTGGTGACCTCCGTAGACAGGCTCAGGAATGGGCCGGCCTCAAGGTCGACCCTGAAGCCGAGCTTTTCGTCTTCGTCGGTCGTTGGTCTCTGCAAAAGGGCGTAAGTCATGCATTTGTCTACGGGCCCGAAAACTTTGCTGACATTTTCTAGGTTGATCTCATTGCTGATGTGTTCCCCTCTGTCCTCGAAACCAACCCCAAGGTTCAGCTGATTACCATCGGTCCCGTTATTGATCTCTACGGCAAGTTCGCCGCCCTGAAGTTGAGCAAGCTCATGGAACTTTACCCCGGACGTGTCTTCTCCAAGCCTGAGTTTACTGCTCTCCCGCCCTACATCTTCAGTGGTGCCGAGTTCGCTTTGATCCCCTCCAGAGACGAGCCCTTCGGCTTGGTCGCTGTCGAGTTCGGAAGAAAGGGAGCCTTGGGTGTTGGTGCCCGCGTCGGTGGTCTCGGTCAAATGCCCGGATGGTGGTTCACGGTAGAATCGACCAAGGCTGTAAGTAACCAATGATTCTGTCAACCCACCCACAAGCCGCTAACGATCTTCACAGGCCCATCTTACCAAGCAGTTCAGACATGCTATCCAGTCCGCTCTCAAGGCCGATACCAAGACTCGTGCCGAGATGCGTGCCTACTCCGCTAAGCAACGTTTCCCTGTCGCCGAGTGGCTCGAGAAGCTCGAGAAGCTTCAGGCTGGCTGTATCAAGTCTCACGCCAAGTACGGTAAGAAGGGTCTGGGCAAGGGCAATGTCCTCGTCAAGCGCAGCCGCGCCAGCTCCAATGTCGGCCTCCGCGAGGAAGTCGAGCTCGTCGACCGCTCCCCCGCTTGGATGAGACAAGTCTCGGACTACGACGACGATGCCACCACTCTCAACACCGGACGCAACACCCCCGCTGGCATGCAAACTCCCCACGGATACTACTCTAGCACCCCCGGCTCGCCCATCATCTCGCCTTCTCCCGCCTATGTCGACTCTCCCGGTGGCTCTCGCGCTGCTTCTCCTGGCCCTCACAGCCGCAACATCTCTGGCAACGAGCTTACTCACTCTCGCAACTACTCTGGATTCTCAACTCACGATGTCAACAACCACAGCCGCAACGTCTCCGGTTTCTCCATGGCCGACACTCTTCCTCTGCCTCCCCCAGGCGGTGCTCTGGGTATCCACGACAACTCATCCCGTGCTTCCATGCTTAGTGTCGAGGACGTTGTCGGTGACCGCCATGACTACAAGCTCCAACAAGTCGACCCCTTCTTCACCGACCAAAAGGGCGAGTTCTACCAGGAATTCGAGGAGAGACTCAAGAACCTCAACGCGCAAAACTCCATTTCTGATCTCTGTATCGAGGACTACCTGATGAAGAGTGAAAAGGAGTGGTTCGACATGTACCTCGACGCCAGGCTGGGTCGTCCTTCGCGCCCCTCGTCTCCCTCGGGCTCCGGACGACGATCCATGTCTAGAACCCGCTCCCCGTCCAGATCCCCTCTCGGCATGCTTAAGAACCTGTCCAGCTCCAAGCTCAGCTTGCCCATGGAGCGCGGCCGCGCTGCCAGACGTTCCAACCTGATGAACAGCACCAACGCAGATGGCTACGGTGACCAGACTCCTCCCGACTCCCCTGGCTATGACCGCGCCCAGTTCGCCCTTCCCGACGATTACGTTCCCCCCACTGGTGTCAAGAAGTAGGTTACCATCCTTCCGCCTCCCCCGTATCACAACTAACATCGCGCAGGTACCTCCAGTACAAGGTCGGCGATTGGCCCGTCTACGCGATGCTTCTGGCTCTCAACCAGGTCATCGCCACCAACTCCTACCAGGTCACCCTTCTTACCGGCGAGGTCGGCCAGACGGCTTCCAAGCTCTACGTCATCGCCTCCATCTACCTCTTTGGCTCTCTCGTCTGGTACACGCTGTCCCGCACCGTGCCTCTTCTGTACCCGCTTTCGGTGCCTTACATCGTCTACGGTATCGCCTTCCTGATCCTCGGCTGCTCTCCGTTCGCCGCGGACAACAACACCCAGGTCTGGCTCCAGAACGCTGCCACTGGCATCTACGCATTCGCCTCCGCCTCCGGATCTTTCGCGTTTGCCTTCAACTTTGGTACGGACGGTGGCTCTACCGTCCCCAAGTGGATCCAGCGTCTTGCCATCATCCAGGGCTTGACCCAGTTGTACACTCTCGGCCTCTGGGCTTGGGGTTCTCTCGTCTCCGACGCCGAGGCCAACTCTCAGCCCAAGCCCACTCTCGCCGGCTCCCCCGCTCTCCTCGGCATCTGTCTCCCCGTGTGCCTGCTCCTGTGGGCCATCGGCGTGCTCCTCTACCTTGGTCTCCCCGATTTCTACCGCGAGTCCCCGGGTCCCGTCCCCAAGCTGTGGGCGTCCCTCGTCAGGCGCAAGACCATCGCCTGGTACCTCCTCGCCGTCGCCATCCAGAACTACTTCCTCTCCCCGCTCTTCGGCCGCAACTGGTTCTTCCTCTTCTCGTCCCAGCACGTACCCGTCTGGAGCATGGTCATCCTCGCTCTCTTCTTCTTCATCTTCGTCTGGGCCTTCGTCCTCTGGGGCTTGGCCAAGGCCAGTGCCAGCCATCCCTGGCTGTTCCCCATGTTCGCCGTCGGTCTCGGTGCTCCCCGCTGGGCCCAGATCTGGTGGGGTACCTCCCGCATCGGCGTCTGGATGCCGTGGGCCGGCGGCGCTGTCGCAGGTGCCGTCCTCAGCCGTATTCTCTGGCTCTGGCTCGGTGTCCTCGATGGTCTCCAGGGCGCGGGCATCGGTATGATTCTCATGCTGACGCTCACCCGTGTCCACGTCGCGGCCGCCTGTGCCGCGGCGCAGGTCGTCGGATCAATCTTCACTATGCTCGCGCGTGCGACGGCGCCTAACAACGTCGGTCCCGGGCCTGTCTTCCCCGACGTCAGCGAGGGTGTCGGCGTGGCGCTTGCGAGCGCGTGGTTCTGGGTGGTTCTGTTGTTGAACCTGTTTATCTGCATTGGTTACTTCAAGTTCTTTAGAAAGGAACAGGTTAGCAAGCCTTAAAGGGAAGGGGATATATACCACAAGGCTATGATTGTGCTTTTCTGGGATTAGACGTGGATAGAAAGTTTTTGTTTGTTTTGGGTAGCATATGATCCTCAGTAATGACCACACACTTACTACTGTTAATAGAGATAATGAACAATTAGATATCTCTCAATAAGTTTCCGTCTCAGTGAATATGAAGCCTGCTCTCGTACAACAACTAAAGACCATCCTAGGAGCTACCACCTAACAATTCGATGGGTTGACTGTAGCAAGTCGACTCAGGACATGAATGGGTGACCCTGAATTCTGCACGCCCGGATTAGGGATCGCATCTAGGTTGAAGCACAGCTTGACGTTGGGTCCAAAGATGAGGCAGTGAGTTGAGCCACCAAAGTGGAAGCGCCCAATCTTGTCCGCCTTTTTAAAGCTTTTCTTTTCGAAGAACTCAACAGAAGAAACCTCGGCCATGCCAATCATGACCACAGCCGTGAGCCCGATGTCGGGATTATTAGCCTTGATGTAAGCGACGCCTCGTTTGGCAACCGCGGAGATGTAGCTTTGTGACAACTCGTCGGCGCCAATGTCTGGATGAGCCATTCCCTTGTCCGCCCATATGAGAGGCTCTAATAGTATGCGCCGTTGATGATCTTGGGGCAACATTCGTATGAACCAGAGACGAGAGCATGCCAGTTGTGGTAGCTATCCCCACTGAGGAACGCCTGATAGACAGTGCCTCCAATGAACGCTCAGCCATTTTCTCATCGCCGAGCATATCTACAAGGCTGTAGTTTGATCGACCGTCAGGGTTCTTCACCCAGACTGTGTCACGAAGGTGGACGTTTCTCCGGATATAAAAGGGTGTTGACTCGGTGGCAATGACGATAACATTGTCGTCACGCGGGCACGCGAGCGGCCAGGGGCCTATCTTGAAGTCGCGAGTGAAGAATTGGTCCCATGAAGTGAAGCCGTAATGAATGGGGTCGTTCGGGTCTGGAAAGACATGTGTCCAGGAAGTTCTTCAACCCAGCCTCCTGGGTCTGGGCTACGGGTGCCAGCCAGCCTCCTTCGGCAGTCGTTACTGGGTCGACTGACTTCCTCGTGGTAAGGAACTGGCCCCAATAGACCAGCATGTGTTTGAATACCTGGTTAACATCGTCCCGGATGAATGCAGCGAACTCCGCCTTGGTAGACATAGGCCAGTCTAGAATGGCGTTGATAGGAGTGCCGATTTGGGGGGAGTCGTTATAACGAATTGGATTTTGGATCTGGTAGTTGAGGGCTTGAATAAGTTCTTCAATGTGTCTGATTTCTGCGCCACCGCCCGGGACTCTGTTGCAGGGAGGGAGGCCTGGTCGTCACCTCGGTCAACGTCTCAGTAAAGAGCATGAAGACATTGGGATTCGATTTGGTAAGATTCCGAAGAGCGGTGATAGGCGGGGCATCCGGTAAGTTCGCAGCCTTCGCACTCAGTAGGAAGCCACACTCCAGGCGTGGCGAGAGACCGTGCCGGCCCAACCCTTACACCCAGGTTTAAGACAAACCCCAGCGCGGGACGGGCCAGAGCCTGAACGGAATCATAAGATCGCCCTGTAAAAGCAGTGAACGGGCTGGTTTCTTCTCATGGTCTAGGAAACCAGGCTGTCCATAAGTGTTGCATATCTTCGGACGACATCAAGTCTCGGTGCGTCGTGGTTCCCTCAACCTTGACCTATTCCACTCGTGCTATGATCGTGTCTGGTTGTGAATCTCGGACGAGGTATTCGCTTCCTTGGTACAGGAAGCTGGCACCGTCGTAGATCGTGAATGCTGCCCTCAAGAATCTAGTTCCCCGATAGTCCTTCCTCTCAATCTCAGAGGCACCCTTCAGCCTCAGGGCTGAGTCAACAAGAACGGACTTCATTGTAGCCCAATATCGTGTCAAGGGACAACACACTTCTGCGAGAATTGGAACTAGCAAGGGAATATTGGATGTCAACGTCAATGTATTTTGCCTCGAACCTTTGTACTGTTTTTCTCCAAGCCAAGACTCTCTCATCCTTTTCCCTCACTTCAACAAGTGACCCTCCGTCTCGGCACCCTGCGGCCTCTTCCAATGCACCGGCAGCTCCCCCCAGCTCTCTTCATTATACTTCTCCTGCACCTTTTGACACGTCCTCAGCCCCCACTCCGTCACACCAACCATGGCGCAGCTCTCAAACATGAACGCGCAGCTGCCGGCGCCCACCTTGGCGGGCTTCAGCTCCGCGTTCCGCGCCCCCTCCCCGCTCTCCGCGTCCGGCCCGTGCCCGCTCATCGTGTTGTGCAGGCTCGCGCCGCCGGGCACGAACCCGCCGGAGCCCCCGCGCTTCGCGTCGTACCCGCCCGTGATCAGGCCCATGAACTCCGACATGGTGTTGCGGTGGAAGTACGGCGGCCGGAACGTGTCCTCGGCCACCAGCCACCGCGGCGGGAAGATGACAAAGTCCGCGATCGCCGTGCCCGGCACCCCGCTCGGCGCCGACAGCACCGTGAAGATGGACGGGTCCGGGTGGTCGTACGAGATGGTCCCGATCGTGTTGAAGCGACCCAGGTCGTACTTGTACGGGTAGTAGTTGCCGTGCCACGCCACCACGTCGAACGGGCTGTGCGCCTGCTCCGTCTTGAAGAAGTCGTTGTTGAACTTGACCCGCACCTCGTACCTGCTGGGTCCCTCGTGCGCCGTCGCCCCAAAGTCCTCGTCGAAGCTCGCCACGGGAGCCTGGAAGTCCCGCGCGTTCGCCAGCCCGTTGGTGCCGATCGGGCCCAGCTCCGGCAGCACAAAGTGGCCCTGGTACAGCTCCAGCGCGTACCCCCTCGCGGGGCCGCTCGGCAGGTGGACCTGGTATTTGATCCCTCGCGGAATGACGGCGATTTCGAGCGGGCGGACGAGCAGCCAGCCCAGCTCGGTGCGAATATCCAGCACGCCCTCCTGCGGGACGATGAGCAGGTCGCCGTCGGCGGAGTAGAAGGCGCTTTTGGCGTCCATGCTGCGCCCGGCGGCGTAGACGTACATGCCGATGCCCTGCTTGAGGGTGGGATCGCCCGCGCCGGCGACGAGCCGCATGCCCTCGACAAAGTCCCAGCTGCGCGCCTCGTCGTGGTCGAAGGGGTCCCAGCGTAGCTGGTTGGGGATGTAGCGCAGCTTCGACGGCTCGGCCTTGGGTTCCGGGGTCGTGGTCGGCGCGTAGGGAGGGTGGGCGCACGAGGGCAGGATGCGGTAGAGCCAGGCCTGCTTCATGTCGTGGCGGGGCGCCGTGAAGGAGGTCCCGGAGAGCTTCTCGGCATAGAGGCCGTGGGGGGGCTTTTGCGGGGAGTTTTGGCCGATCGGGAGGGACTCGGGGACGGCTTCGGACCTGTGTGCGAAGAGGTTGCAGGTTAGCTTCGGGCCTTTTAAACTGGGTGTCGGGCAATGGGAATACGCACTCGAGGTGGGAGTCGAAGCCGACCTGGTATCGGTACTTCTCCTTGAAATCAAACGTTGTGACGGGCATTGTGACGGACAGCTTCAAAGCAGCTATGTGTCGAAGCTTACAGCGGCCGGTGTGATGGATTGTCGAAACAAAGGCTCTGCATGGAACAAAAATCGGTCCATGGCTTAAGTTCTATACCACATCCCCCAACAGCGGCGGCGGAATAGGGTTACTCGCTCTGGATGACGTTGGATGGAATTGCGTCCCTCGCAAAGCCGACAGCTTGTTCTCGATTCCGCGGTCGTCGCAAGGACCGTAAAGTCGGCGTCAAGCGGCGTCTGCCGACGTTAGCCGGGGCTGCCGGATGTGGTGCTTCTCACTAGGCCTTCCAATTCCGAATTTCCGCTGCCTTTGGGGGTTGGGGGTTCAATTGCTCCAAGAGGGGGCCGTGCGACCTGGCCCCGTCTCACCCCGCGGCGGAGGAGGAGTCTGAGGGGAATTCGGCAGTATCCGTTCAGATCCGAAATGGAGACATTGCTGACTGATGACGGGCGAGATTGAGGGGTGCAGACGTTCGAGGTTTCGGACGAGGAAGACGGTCTATGCCGTGGATTCAGGCCATGACTTTCCGGAGCTTGGGATCTTTGAGGTCCGGCACAGATTGTTTGGCCTGGCTGAGACAACAGCTGGAATGATACCACACTAACAGCATCAACACCTGAGGAAGGGAGACCGTGTTAACACGGCATCATTTACCCCGCCATCTGTGTCACCAGTAGAGGGGTCCATGAGTGACCATGGATCATGGAAACACGCAGCTGAATGCTTACGCACATGTTTAAATTGCAGAAGAAGCTGAAGTTTGACCATTTCAAGCTCCAAGAATGACATACTTGAGCATCTACAAAGTGTACGGCCTAGATAGATCATTCTTCAGCCCGCTCGGACGGCAGACCCTAGTTCCCCGGGTAGTGGGTCACGATGCAGGACAGCCGGTGCACAGCTCCCTCATATCCACCCACCATTGACGACATGCCTTTCTCGACGGTGATTAGATCAGAGGAGATGACCTTTTTGAAATGACACAAAGATTCAGGAACTCAGACGTACATACACCCAAGTCACAAGTGAAAGAGAATGTCATGACTGTCAACGTGTCTATTCAAGCGACCCAAGGCTTTTACCACCTCGAGCCCGCTGAAGCACCGTCGACGTCACGGGATTTCCTAGCTAATACACCTCGAGGCTTCGAGCCTGAGAGAAGAGATCCGAACCGATGAACCCATCCGACGATATCTATCGCAATATCCCATTGCGCCAAGTCGCCATACGAGCCAGAGCGAAGCAAGCCAGTGTTTGTGATCAGGAAGTATTGGACAAGATACGGGAAAGTGGCGTGGGATTCATTACTCCTCGTCCTTCTTGTTCTTCTTCTTCTTGCCGCCGCTGGACATTGCCTGTGTCGAGTTGGGCGACAGGTGGACGACGAGGCGGGTCCATGACTCCTCCTTGTCCCACTCGAAGCCCATCAGGTAGGGCTTGTCAAGCTCATCGTCGGACTGTGGGTGATGTCAGTGGTGTTTATTGAAGGGATATGCGGGGTAATGGCTCACCCTCTTCTTGTATGCCTTGTGGATGGCGTCCATGGCGTCCTTGATTGTGACGCCCTTCAGGTTCCTTGCTGTTACTTCCATGCCGAGAGGAAAGTGCAGGTCAATTCTCTTGACTGGGGGTTCTGTCAGGTGCTTCTTGAGGATCTCCTTCTCCTCTATTGTTGAGGGGGAGGTGTTGATCTTCCTGTCGGGGCATCGTCAGCCATTGTTGCACGCGCAGTTGCCGACGTGCGAGGCATGAATGTGAGTAGGATGACTTACCATCCTGTCTTCTGTGTCTCGATAGCTATTTGAAGATCAATGCCTTCTGCCTCTGTATAGGAACATGACAAGTTAGCAGTGCTCCGAGGTACCCGACCAAGTGCGGGGTCATGGGAGAGTGGTGGTTTCGGGGCGAAGGCATACCAAGGTCGTTGACGTTCTTGACGCCAGGAGCGGCGGCAGAGCTCTGTCTACGCTTCTCCTTGGGAGGGGAGGTGGCGAGGCCCTGGACGGCAGAGTCGACTTTGGAAAGTGGTTCCGACATGATGGTGTTGTGGTTGTGGTGTGACTAGATCTAGAAGATCGAGTGATTGTATCTGGCAGCAGGTTTCAAGTAAGCTCCTGAGCTGTGTATCTCGCGTGACAGGTTAAGCTCGTGTGCAGGACGGAAGCTCTTGACCGTCTGAGGAGGGGGAGGAAGGGGTACCTTTGGAAGCTGGTTGGGTTGATGGATGGATGGTTGGTTGATGAGTGGGATGAGGACGAGAATAAGAAGGAAAGGAAAACGAGGGGGAGGGACGAGGTAGATAGATGTCGATCGGGACGGGGCGCCTGACCTGACTTGGCTGTGCCCTGGATGAGACTGGCCGTGCTTGAGCTGTTGCTTGGAGCAGGAGCTGGCGTGAGGAGAGGGGAAACATTGTCCAGGGCTGGTCCCGCCTGGTAAGGTGAGGTACTACGCAGCAAGATACCTAGTTGGAGGAGCAGTGGTCAACGGCCAATGGTCAATGGTCTGCCACTGCAGTGCGCGAGTGCGTAGTCGGTCCATGTTCCCCATGGACGGACGAGTCGGGTGTCGAGGCAGAGAGCTCCCTGCATCGGCCGTCGCCTGGCTGAATGGCTGGTGCAGATACATTGGGAGCGGGCGACGTGTGTAGAAGAAGAGAGGTACCGCAGCTAGCAGCTAAGATTGATGATGCATTACGGTTTCGTCAGACCGGGCGGGGTAACTGCCCATCAATGGCGCCGCCAGACGATCGCGTGACTGGGAAGCTCATGAGATGCGCGGGCGACCTGAGGCGAGGGGAAGGGAAGGCACGGGCGTCGAGGGCGGGCCACCCGTCACCTGCCACCACAGCTGCAGGGAAAGAAGTGACATTCCACATTACTAAGGCATCTATGTCACCGTGTAGGAAAGAAGAGAAGGAAGGAACTACCGAAGCTACCAGGCACCCAAGGAAAGTACCTGCTTCTGTCACTGTTGCTGATGCAGCAGGAGCACAGGAGCAGTAAAAGCAAGAGCAAGAGAGCAGCAGGAGCAATGACTGATTGTCCTCTGCTACTGCCGCACATGGTAGATAGGAAGGAGACGTGGAAGAGTGGTCTGGTTGGCTGATCATCCGAAACGGGCATGGCGCGTCATGAAGGAGAGGACCCTCTCGCCCAGGCGTGGTCACTGCAGCTGCTCTCGTGTGGAAAGTGGAAAGAGGGGACCGGGAAGCTGCGATGGGCGCAGGGGCGGCAGTGGGCGTGGGATGTGAGCTGGTGCAGGTGCAGGTGCAGGTGCTGGTGCAGGCACCGCCTGGCGCCATCGTCCAAGGTCCACGGGTCGACGATGAATCGGCTTTAGTGCGGTCTCCGACACGGGAGAAGAGTCTGGGGTAAAAGTCTGGGGAAGCAGCAACAGCCCCACCCTGACGGCCCTATGACGCTATGCCGTTTGGTGACTGAGCTGCTTTTGCCCGTCGTGTCAGTCTTGACACTTGAGTTTATGAGCTGGAGGTGTGTGTGCTCAGGTTGTGTGGGAGGGCAGAGGAGGGGGAGGGGAGGGGGGAGAGGAAGCATCTCGAGATCCATCTTGGTGTCTCTATGGAAGATTCGAATGCAAGATCTCGCTCCCGACCTACCGAGAAACAGCTCACAGCTTAGCACAGCTCAGCTCAGCTCAGCTCAGGGGGGAGGGTCGGCGTTTGTCAATGCCCATCGGTGCAGCGAGCCCTGAACCGGTTTCCGCAGCGCAATACGGATCCATTGGATAGTGAGTGGAGCTGCACCTGGCGACCGCGACGGGTCACGCCAGGCCAGTGGAACCACAAAACAGCAGACAGGCTCGCACCTCACCTGATGCCTCCTTCCGATTGAGACACCAGACAACCAAACACATTGGACCACTGCAACAAGGAAACTGCGGTGCGCATAACGTGATTTCTCGTCCAGCATCCCTCACCACTGTGCCCCCCCGTAGTGTCGTCGCACCAATCCTCAACCATGTCTGATCTGCCGAGCCACCAGAGTGTCACTACTGGAGTTTGTTTGCGAGGGATGCGCCGGATGGGCAACTGATTGGTGATCGACTTGAAGCCCCTCACTCAGCGCGCAATCAGCCCAAAGCCACCTCAGACACACCACCGTGACCACACGCAGGCCACTTCTGATCGACCACCACCAGAGAAGCTCACACCACCCCGTCCATCGTCCGACTCCATATAAGCCACGCGGATCCCTACTCACCTCCCCGGCCTCCCGTCTCGCGACAATCCTCAGCGGAGCTCTTCGAAAATGATTTCCAGCATCTCGCCTTGATTTCGTTTGTCTTGTTCAAACATCGCCCGTCTGTCCACGATGCATCGCACATACACGCCCATCCACCACCCCAACCGCCATCACGAACCGCCCCCAAGATGAAGCCACCTCGGCATGCACCTCGTTGACCAAGTCGTTACACCTCTGCCCCGGCTGCAGCAACACGCCAAACACCACACAAACATGCCATGCCATGTCGCCACGTCCCCACATTCCCGCCGTAATTAGTGTCAGCACCAGTACCAGCATTTGCACCAGCACTTCCAGTCCCGTCTCGTCCCTCGCGCGCCCTGTCGGCATTCGCATTCCACCTCCCCGCTTTCGCTTCCGATGTGTCCGCTTCGCCTGCGCCTGTCCCGCATGTCCCGTCCGTTTCTGCGCTTGTCTCTACGCTACGCCAGTGATTCCCGTCCGACATGGGTCATGAAAGAAACGCGTCTTCGAGCTCCCGATCGATTTCCTGTTGTAGCTGCGTCCAACGTGACAGAGTCCAAGTCTCTCAATTCCCTGCGTTGCGTTATTGCTTTTGATCGATTGCATACTTGCTGAAAGGTGAGTCTGGTGGAAACCCTCCGCTAATGGCTCAGTTGGACCCTCGACGTCCCGGCCAAACCGGTCTCAACGCATGAATGAATACGCACGCGACACGGCGAATATTCGAAGTACGGCATGATCCACCCGGATTCTCGGCGACCTGCGCATTGCACCCCCCGCCCCTCACGTCAGCCCACGCCATTCACCTAAGCGAACCGCTGGAATTTCCTGCGCTATTGAAGCATCTCTTGAAGAAGCCAGACATGCCGCAGAGTTGACTTGTTAGGTGAGGCGCTCGCCGTCCTGAACTGCTGAGTCCAGCTGACAGCTGTGCATAGAAGTAACTCTCGTCACCACCGACTGTCGACTTTGCGATCGAACGACGGAAGCTTTGATGTACGGATGGTCACTGGGCTATAGCATGTAAATCGAGAGCGCGCAACATGTGGTTAGCAAGGGCGATAAAGCATGGCGAGCATGGTAATGGTCTTGGCGATGAAGGGGGAGGTCGGTCAGTCGATCTGTTGTTAGGTACTGGAGCTGGTGCACGGATTGGCGGGGTACGCGCGGGGTCAACGCCAGGGACGATCAATTCACCTCTGCGGATTGGCGCTAAGGTCCAATGCGAGCATCCGTCCGCTGTTGTCAATCAACATGATGAACCACGAAATGACACTCAGTCTCACCGACCTGAATTCAGTGATTGAAAGTGACAAAAAAGAGTAATTAACAAAAAGTTCAGGGGCTAAACCAGTGATGACTCATCCAGGCTGTTTATCACACTAGCATCCGTGGATACCACGGTGAGACGTGATGATTACATTGATCAATCAACTGCGCATCAATCAACTGCGCAGTCATGTCCTCGCGGCCAAAGTTGATGGCCTGGAAACTTCACCAACAACGAACAGGTTTTGTCACATTCCCTAACGAAGTGGCGAGCTGCTTGATACTTGGTAGTCGTCTGTATTTTTAGCTTATCTCTGTGTCCTGCTCTGATCCCTCTCGCAATCTTTTCTCAGTGGTACATCTTCTTTCTGATGCTTCAAGCTCTACGGCGCACTGGTGAGGGTCTTGGGGGTCCAGCTCGGCTTTACTTTGATCTCCGTGGAGCTCCGTGATATCATAAAGAGGATCTCGCCCATGCAATTCAAGAGGCCTTTGCCCGGGCAGTCGCTAGCTCTGGGCAATCAGGTTCAGTGGCAGGCTGTTTTATAGACTGGCGTCTCCTCTTTCGCCGCCTCGCGAGCAGCAAGATGACTATACCGGCTACAGCAGCCGCCAGAATACTACCACCAACTATACCGCCCATCGCAGCAGGATGCAATGAGTTGTCCTGGTGATTTCCAAGGATAGTACTGTTACTATCGCCACCAGTCCCATCCCCAAGACCCGGGAGTTCAAGACTGAAAGAGGAACTCATTAAATCCTCAACGCCCGTGTCGTATCGTACGGATGCAAGATTTCTGGTGCCATGTGAGGACTATTCTTGACCACAAGCTTTACTGAGAGCAACTCACCCCTCATTGTACCAAGATTTAACTGCATTCAAAGATTCATACGCAGCCGCCAACGAGTTGTACTCATCTGTCCATTCAAGACTTGTCAAGTCCAGAACTCCTATGCCTTGATGGAATGTATCGGGATCCTCCATCGGCGTTCCCTGTGGCAAACTCGGATCAACACCTCCAACGGTGATCATCTGACGCCTTCCGGCGACAACGCAAGACATGTAAGCCCGGGGCATCTGCTTGGCATCCGCCTGTATCCAAACGAAACCTGGCAGACTCAGAATCCAGACATCCCCGAAGCCCACTCGGTTATCGGTCAAACCGCCAAAAAGGAAACTTCACTTGACATCAGCTGAAGAGTGACTCTCCATAGAACTCCATTCACTTACATATCGTACGTGTTGTTTAGACTCTGTGCACCAACTACACAAGCCCACCTGCGTGGCTCGGGCGCTTGCCCGATCGTCTTCTGTGAATACCACCTCTTTGTGACAGGGTCGACAAACCAGACCACTTCCATGCTAAGGTTTCCAGGCTCCTGGTTCGTAGAATTATACTCGGCACCTGCTAGTATCATGATCAAGCCCTGTGACCCATACCTGGGAATGTAGTGGGCAGTTGCCGCGTAAAGGGTACCAGATGAGGAGTAAGGTGTATCCGTTCGGTTCGTCCACGCTGGTAGCCCCTCGGGTGTTGTGTAGTTGAGCTGAAGATAACCTGGGACTTACCCGCCAACTGGCATCTTGGGGTCAATTTTGGTCTTCGTTTCCTCGAAGCCTCCAAAATAATTAAAAGCCCGAATCTGGTTTGCTGGCAAATGCCCCACCGTGAGATCGACGAATGCTGGACAATTCTTGGGAGTACTTATCCTCAACACTCCAAATCCCGCTGCCATTTCCATCAGCGGTAAATTTCCACAACTGAGTTGAAGACTGCGTGGCTTTGGAAACAGAGCCTCCCCAAGTGACAATTGAATTCGAGTCGTATTCCCTGACCTAATTTTGATTGTTGATCTTCGAGGCATCTTTTCGAACTTGCATCATTTGCACGCCAATCGACCTCCACGAATGAGATAGGTCCAAGGATAAGGTGCTGATGACTGGATTGTCTCGATGTTAGGTTTCTAATCTGATGTTCTCCATTGAGATGAGTTGACGAACCCTGACTTTCCCGATATTCTCCTTGACGACGTTGACATATCTGACCACCATCAATGTATAAATGCTTCCCAATAATGAACGCTAAGATGAATTCACCATGTCAGTAATTTTTGACAAAAGAGTAAACGTAGTCCGAGAAAGATGTGTTCTAGGCAAGACATACATCGGGCTCCGCGTCTTCTGATGAAGTTGCCAGGTGCAGGCGCAGCAGGCATGTCAATTTCCTCGTCTGCATGGCAGAGAATGGCCATGTACCCAACAGCCGATATGGGCGCCTTTCACAGTGAGAATATCATCGCCAGAGGCCGCTGTTGTGAAGGTGGCGATCGATTTTCGTTCGTTCAAACCAGTGATCTATAGCACGGGCGCGAAGAAGCGAAGGTCTGCGAGGATGTAAATAAGCCATATGGATGTGGTGGGTATTACCAAGATTCCAGCGCAAAGGAAGGAGATACACGCTTGAGGTTGGGATTTATCTTTTGAGTTGCGAAGTGATCCGGTTGGATCTACAACAGCCATACCCAAAGGGTTGAGAGACATGCGCTCGGAGTGAGACAGCGTGACCGTCACCTTTCTTCTCTGAATACCTTACCCTCGCCGCCGAGGCATTCTGCCCTGCGGATAACGGAGCTTAGAACTGTGAGCTGGCGAAATGGATGGTGGCTAGGCCCACAGCATAGTAGTAGTCAAGTGCTGCATTCCCGTGGCTGGAAAAAAAGCCACGTATCTGAGTCACGTAATACATGAAGTCTTCGATTTCTCGAAGGTTTTGTGTGTGTCGTCGATAATGGTTGAAGAGCTCGTAAAAGGTGGCCAGCGGCAACTAGCCACCATCGGCAACGCATTTGTTCCTTCTTTACAACATCAAGGAGGGAGAGGAAGCAGGATCGGAAAGAGAAAAAGTTCCGAAAACTATACCAAGATTTTCTGAGACGCAGAGATGGCAGGCCGTGTCCGCATGCTACCACATATATTGGTGCCTTTCCTCAAAGCCGGCCTCTGAATGCTTTTTACAAAAGGCGAAAAGCTCATGGCATTGCGTATATTGACTTGGTATCACTTAGCCGGCTGCAATAACAACGGAGGCTTGGTCTCATGGGTACTAGGCATGGTTTTCAGCCCTGTCAGCTACACTTGCGCGACATGCGATTGTTATTGTTGTGGCACTTGGGCATTGGTAAGCCTTGTTTGTGTGTGCACATGTGGCCTACCCAGCGTCTCACTGAATTCGGAGGGCGACTGAGACAAGATGATCGCGCCCAGCCGGGGTGGTGAAACAAAGGGAAAATTGCGAACACCTTGGCTTTGAATGAACCTCCAAGCAAACCAGATCTCGTAGTCACAGCTGTTTCTGCTGCTGATATCGAAATAAATCGGCGTTTTCAGGTGTGAGTGCTAGTTTTTGATTATTGGAGTCTCATCTGCAGCCATTGAGAGTCTCAATTGACCATGATGCTAGCTGAGAAATTGAGCAAGCGCAGAGTTGCGACTGAGAAGATCATGGCCCAATATTCGGCATCTTGACAGTCGACTTTGGTAAGTACCAAAGTGCTTAATTCGAAAGGTTCAAGGTATGTATCGGTTCCACCTGGTCGCTTCAGTTCACCGTAGTGCTGACGAACAGTCTGTTGGCACAAAACATGTCACGTCGCAATAGTCGCGTATAGGAAAAGTTTCTTTACATGGAGGAGTTATGAGGTCATTATTTATGGACGATCCTAGTGACAAGCGTGTAGAGCGTCACACGGTGTTACTTCTTACCCTCCAAGCCTGGGATCGGCATATCTTCCTCCAGTTTCTTCCCATTGACAACCGGCATATCAGCAGCTGTAACCACAATGAATAACCTCGCAGTCGTCTTGTCGCTTCTATTTCTCCAACCGTGAAGCGTGCCGCGCTGCACAATAACGTCCCCACGCTTCAGAACCTGAGTCTCCCCACTATCGAGGAACAGTTCCAGCTCTCCCTCCACCAAGACGCCAGTGTCGATGCTTTCAGTTCGGTGAAGCGGCGCCTCCTGTCCGGGCAAGAAGTCGATAAATCGCGTGGTGAGGCCTCCAGGATATGCGATACCCACGTTGTTGGGAAGTCTGGACTTGTAGAAATCCAGATCGCTGCCGTCGGCGAGAGGCGCAGGCAGGGAGGGCGTGGCGTAAGCGAGCCACAGGTCGGCACCCGGGCCGGCGGTCTTTTCGAGCTCTTGAGGGACGCTCTTGTCGATCACTGCCTGGCCGGAGGCATTGTGGGTTGTGACGATCCGCCGAGGGGCGGGAAGGGGTTCGTAGGATGGGGCCGCGTTGGAAGACATGTCTTGTTCTGGGTGCACTGAGTACGTAAAGGACACTGAGATGTGAAGCTGCGACCTTCTTTTCCAACAACGGACGAGGTTCCCCTTTATACTGGCTTGTCGGTAATGAATAGATCTACAGGAGCTATATTTACCAGGGATTCCCGTAGGATGTGCGCAGTCGTTGGGGTTTTTGGGTCTAGGTCCCACGATTTTGAGATTACGTGGGTACTCGGCTGCGGGTTTCGGCCAGGATGTCATGCATCTAGTGCCATTGAGGAATGGTTCTTCGAATTGCATTTTCCGAACGTGCGAATCACGGCCGAATATCGCTGACCTGTTCACATCTCGGCCCGACAGGACGGTAAAGACGGTGCGTTTGCAGCTTGCATATGCTCGACTTCAAGCTGTCAGCTTACCGCATCGTAAGTTATGCGATTCTGCTTGGACTGTCTTCTAGGCGACACGTCGCCGACTTCAATCTCCATGGTTTGGATATGTCAGCATCTGATCGAAAGAGCATTGTTGATCATGGGCATGCGGAGATGTGGTTCAATCAAAAGAAACGGGATTACCGAGCAGCTGTCAGCTTGACGTTGTGAGAGAAGCATGACTGAGCAACGTTTGATTTTGTGAACCTGGCAGATAACGAGAAGACACGGATCCGTGCTATGGCAGCTCCTGTAAATATGTTCTGAGCATCACGGATTTATCTTGAAGCTCAGGCGTGCGGCTGTGGCTGTCTTAGCGTCGAGATCGTCTCGGGCTCCGGGGACCAACAATAGCCTCATGCTGATGCAAGTGCACGGCCTCTGACGTCCGAAGTATACTTATTAAGACATTTGTTAGTGTCAGCATCTGATATAATCATAGCCGGGGCCTAGATCTAGATCCAAAGTTGCTCGAGCACGCGTAACATCCAAGACATCGATCAGTGACAACACTGCCAAACTCTTTGTTCTGCTCCAACAGAAGGGATAAGACGTAAGACTGTAACGATTTGAAACGGCGGCTTCAGCTTTCTGATTGGACGATTCAAGATTAACGCTTCAAGTGACTGATGATTTGAGCAACCAGGGTCTCATATGTCGGGTTGCCGCTGCAGTCTTCTCCTCTGCACCGCCTGCTGACAAACTCCGTCTCGAACCAAAGTGATAAGCCTATTCTTTGGGAACAAAGGGGTGCGGGCGAGGATAGAGGTATGTAAAACCGGGCTGTGGTTGAGGCTGCCACCCGGGTCGCAACAACGGGGGTATTCCATTATAAGCTTCGAATGGGTAGCCTACGTACGGCTTTTCCATTCCTTTTTGATTCATGTCGTCATTGATCCTAGGCGTTCCCGCAGGAATTGATGGGTGAATTCGCCTCTCTTTAGGCCACGGCCAGATACCCTCCAGTGGCACGTCTTCGTAAATCGTGTTGAAATTGTCTTCCGGACTGAACAGACTGTATCCATAGACATGAAACCCCTCTGGGTTGTAGGCCCAGCTAAAGACAAGCTGAGAAGGCTTCAGATCGGTAAGACGGAATCAAGCGAGCTCGGCCATCTGACTGGCGCAAACATGGAGATGAGCAGTCCACTTCATGTCGGGGTCCTTGAAAATGTAGTGGCGTGTATGCTTCCAACCTCCATAGTTAGGCACCCCGGGACAGACATTCTGCGCGATGCAGCCTGTGTCTTTGATCTCTCGATCCGCGGAGAGATAGAAACCTTCACGCATGAGCTGGCCAACGTCTCGCGCTTTTACATATAGGTTTGCCTCCCACAGGAACGACTTTTGGGTCTCTGCCCATGATTCTTCAACTTTATTGACCCAGAGAAATCGTACGTTGAACTTAGGAATCATTGCGTAGTTCGCGTGTGTGATTCTCAGGCTCTGGCTGACTGGAGGCTTTCCACAGTCATCATCCTTGGCGTTCTCATTAAGAGAACTGTCCATGCAAGCATCTCCATCGTCTTTCGTGTCCGTGGGGTTCTGGTTGGAAAGGAGAATGCTATCAGGGTGGAAGTAAATGTCGGTCATATTGCTTGATGAAGTCGGTGTGATCATGCTGCTGGAATAAGGCGATTCGTTCATGTCCTGTGACGAAGATGCCATGGTGAAAGAGTAGTGCGAGTTGAGGATGACGTAAAAGCACATAACGGAGGTGTTCTGTGAGTTTTATAAACCCTCATTTGAGCTTGGGTCAACACTAATAGAATTAGAAAAAATCACAAATTGGTCTGCTTGCTCACAAGGTTGCGGGACCGATGCGTTTTATAAGCTGTAGAAGTACCACAAGAGAAGTTCCTAGATACATTGGCCAACGATGAATTCACGCATCATTTCCTCTAACATTCACGGATCCAACTGCAGAATGAGTCTTCGATGCGACGCGTTGCCAATCCCTTAGTACGTTGCCAACGTTCAAATGCCAGAGGGGAGGACATGTCTAGTCGTTTCACTATTAGCCATGTTATTCGCAATCAAGTGACACTATCATTCTTTCTATCCAGGTGACTACACAGAGTTTCGTGTGACGCCGGAATCGTAAGCATCTGCAAACTTTTCATCTTTCTCCACATGGAAATGGAATGACTACCAGCCTGCGCTATGAACCGAATCGACATGGAACGTTTTGGCTGCTTCCACTTTGTGCACGGTGGGAAGCTGCAAATTCGACCCCGTCGGAACCCCTGTGGTCTGGCTTGTGATTCTGAACCAAGACCACAAACTGCTGCGCCGCTGGTCCTCTTGGATCGTCTGAAAGTTGCCCTCTGAGTAAAACGCATTGTATCTGTAGACGAGGAGGTTCTCGCTGTTCATCATGATACAGTGCGCTATTCGGGCTGCTGTTAAATCAGAGAGAAGAAATTCCGACAAAGGTTGAATGTACCGCGCCATAACGAAAAGATGGGCAGTCCATGCATGCTCCCCTCGAGAGTGTCGGAAAATATAGCGTCGTGTATGTCGGACTTGGCGATGTTTGAAGGCTTCGGGAATCTTGTTCTCAAGCATCACTCCGGTATTCTTGACTTCGGTGATCGAAGAGATGCGAATGCCGTCTCTCATGAGGCGAGACATGTTTTGTGTTTGAATGTACAACTCCGCGCTCCATCCGAAATCTTTCCACGGCAGGCCCTTTGCATACTCGCAGTCGCCGACGAAAGAAATGCGGACGTTGTGAGGTGGGATCTCTGTAGCGCTTGACCTGGCGACTTTCTCTGGCTGTGAATCGCATGAAAGCTGTGACTTGCTGGGATGATTGCCCATTTTGTAGATCTCTTATCCGATGGAAATTATGCTGATCGGGAATGGAACGAACGGACTCGAGAGCTTGTGAAGCTTAGCGTCAAATCGTAACAAAATAGAGAATCGCGGCTGCCGTGACCTCTGGGCATATATCACAGGGGATGCTGTATTATTCAAAGAAGTATCTCTGCAACTTGGCATCTTACGAATCGTCATTTTCTATTAAGGTACTCGCAATCAATCATCCATCCTCTGCGTTATATGCAAAGTCCTACTTTTCGTTTTGCATAACAATATTGACAGCCACAACTGCGGAGATGACAATAGCCGAAGTACAGAGAAAGAAAACGATCCCAATGGTATCTGATAGATACGATGACATGTATAATAGGTAGCACATTGGCCGGATAACGACCTTCTTGCTTTCTAACAGATCCTTGGGTCATTTGACTACCTATGAGCGAGAGAAGACTGGAAAAGCGACTCTGCCCAGCAAAATGCAGTCTCAGATTTATCAGAAAATCGACAAAGGCCTTCGAGGGGTACACTGCAGTTTTCATGCAACGAGATTGTGTGGCGGAGGCTCGCAGTGAATACGAGAAAGCTAATCGCAACCATACCGATCTATGCCCCATCCTTGGTATTCCCTGTGAGTCGTCTTCTGCTCTCTCTGATTCTCCATCTAGAATTGTGTTTGCTCTCGATCCAATTGGGAGTAATCAGGAAGACAGGTATCATATTCCGTCGAATCTGGAGTCATACGTCCAGAGGCCTCTCCTTCAGAGTGGTCGTCGGTGGTTTCTTTGCTGCTCACCATATTTGTGTTGTCATCCTGCCCACTCTCTCTCCATTCTGCGCGTTTGGGCCAAGGCCACAACCCCTCTAGAGACATGTCCTCGAACAGCGTATTGAAATTCTCTTCAGGTCTGAAAGCGTCATAATTGTAGACCGTAAGCCACTCCGTGTTCCAAGCGTAGCCATGGGTTATGCGATCGGTCGTAAGGCCCTTCAGTCGAAAATCGGCCAGAGCCTCCATCTCATTTGATCCAACAAATACGTGAGCTGTCCATCCAGCTTCCCGATCTGCTTGTATGTAGCGGCGGAGATGTTTCCAAGAATGATCCCCAAAAGCTTGATGGGGTTGGCAGTTTCGGATGATGCAGCCTGATTGTGGCAGCTCGTTTGCTGGGGAGAGATGGAAACCCTTCTTCATGAGGCTTGAAACTCGGGAGGCTTGCACGACCAAGCGCGCCTCCCATCGCAAGTTGTCCATAGACTCGAAAGATTCGCTGATTTGGTCGTAGAAGATGAAATAAACATTGTACGGGGGTGTTGTAGTTGCGTTTTCCTTAGTGACCGTCTCGGTCTGGACGCTGACGGAACAACCCGTGTTGTAGTTGCGGTTAAGGCTTTTGCAAGTGGCTAGCGGCTGGAAGGTGATGCGTAGATGTCGAAGGATGAACGCTCTGTAGAGCCTCGACTTTATCTCTACATGCCCAGTTTGGTGCCTCCGGCCCTCGGCTATTTGAGTTTTGCCTCTGCGACTCAACACGGCACGCCCAGTGTCAAGTGACAGAGAACGAGTTTAAGCCACATAAAAATGCCTGAATTTTAATCATTGTGACTGGAAGTTTCTGCTCTACTTATTTTGAGTATTCTTCGCCCTCGATTTCCATCTCTCACTGTACCTGAAGAAGCCATCCATCACCTTCCTTACCCTTCGCGCTGTCACCGCCCCAAAAGATGAGACTCTTCGCGCTTGCGGACCCAGCGCCGAAGAAAGCACGCGGACCCGGATGGGCCTTTCCCTCTGTCTTTACTTCCTCCGTTGGCACGAGCTCCACCTCGGCCCAGCTGAACTCGCCCGACTCTACGCGAGGCAGCTTGTCGCGGATCGCGTCCTTCAGAGCTGCCGCAGTAAAGCCGTGGGTTGGAAGTTGCACTGCCCAAATATCGCTGTGGTAGTCCTTCTCGCCCGATTTTTCTTCCTTGCCAAACATGTAAATGAGATAGTGGCGGCCAACTCCGGTGTCGATAGGCACCAGTGCGCCACCTTCGCGGGGGCGAGGTCCAGGGACCAGAGGGTTGGTGGGGAAGTTGACCGTCTTCCAGACCAATGCGTCCGGCTTCTCACGGTCCGTGGCGTTTGACTTGAGTTCCATGTAGTGGATAGCGCCACTCATATCGGAATCCGTGCCGATGGTGTACAGGACGTTGTCCACAAAGGCAGCTGCAGTAGGTGCTTCCGGGGCAGCTGGCAATTCCGTCCAAGCCAGTGTGTCGAAGTTGTAAAGCCAGGTCTCCGTGCTGGCCTTCTGATTCGCAGCGGTACGCCCACCGTGTAGGACCAGAATATCTTGGGCGTGATCGAAGAAAATGTGATGATCAAATCTGGGTGTGAGCGTCTTGCCGATCTGGCTCGATCCCTGGATTTTGGTCCACTTCAAGCTCTCCGAGTCCCACAGCCACAAACAGGTCTCCTCAATGGGCTTTCCGTTGGCATCAGCACCGCCGTGAATGATTGCAAATTGACCACGAGCACACGCCGCGTGTTTCGTCCGTGGGGCAGGGATGTAAGTCTTGCCAGTCTCTACATCCTGCATGGCAAAGGCGGGGTAGCAGGCGTACGCCGCCACGGGCTCGCCGTTGGTCACGGCTGGAAGAGACAAGACGTGAAAATCGGTAGTGCACAATTGGCCATCGGCCGTCTCTCCACCGAATATACAGGCCTTGTGATTGATGACGGTGACCGAGTGATGAGAGCGTGCCAGAGAGAGGCTGTGTTGTTTGTGAGGAGTGGTTATAGCAATGGCAATGCTGAACTTACGAGGCATCATCGGTGGGAGTGGTGGCAATCTGAGAAAGAGAAACCTTTAGAGGCTGCGTCGGACGCGCGACGGCAACAGCAGCTCCTGCCTCGAGGCTGGTTGAGACGACCTGCTCGGCGACAACCGCCCCAGCTACTGCCTCTGCCATGGCTGTTGTATGTCGTGGTGGATTGTGTGGGTGAGTATTGGTGAATGTTTGGGGTTTAGGATGTTGTTTTTAGGTGATGAAGGCGGCTGGATTGAAAGTGAAGATTACGAATTTGGCAAGAATAAGGTAGGTAGATGTTATCAGCAGATGGAGTCGGACGAGTTTTTGGCAGTGGCTAAGGCTGGGACGATCTGCGTCTGATTGTCAGGAACGACGGGCGAGAACGTTGAATGACGTAGCTCTGTCCGCGTAATTATAGTATGACGTCACGTGTCTGGGGCCAACGCTCCTCCCTTGCAAGGAAAGAGCCATCCTTTTGCGCGATTGTCTTTGGGAATCACAAACAAAACGATGGGAATCATCAAAGAAGCGTCCAGATCAACCATCGGTAGCCAACGGACGAACACCGACAAGGATGAAGGCCGTTGTCGCGGGCCGAAGCGTGGTGTGTTGGCTGGCTAGTCAGTTGCCCATCAATATGACCAGCTTTTGGACCCTGCTCTGAGGAGCCCGCAACCTGTAAGCAGTTGAAAGCTCAGGCATTCAACAGCCTTTACAAGTTTTGAGCGTCCTCTTCTTTGCGGTGCTCATGCATTCAGTGCCATCTTAAGAACATCAACCTCTAGCTGGCCCTGGGCCCCGCTCGAAACCCAATGGAGCAGGCTTCCAGATCCCGTTGCAAAAGTCATCAATAACGGGAATTCCAAGGCACCTGTCGTTTCCGGAAACGTCGTTGGTGAAGGAGAAGCGCCGTCAGTTCGCATCATCGGGCACATTCGCCGGACTGCCACGGTCGACCGGAGCTCGCCAACTGGCTAAAGTGGGCGGGGCCCACAGGTTTCGGGCAAGCCCCGGCCTCGGCCCCGGGCCCGGTCGGGGTCTGGGGCTAGCTTGTGGACAAGAAAGAGGATGGCACACCAGATCCAGGGGCCTTATCTGCAGGCCAGGCTGAGACTTCAAGCTGAGCAGAATCGTCGGCTGCTGCATCCATAGTTAATTGCGATGCTCCTTTGACAGGGGGGGCAAGCAGAAGGCTGCGACCCCTGCGCGCTAAAAGACGAACTCCGATTGGCCTATCACGGTCAACAGCTAGGTTGCGTGCACCAACAAACCAGCAGATTCCTGCAACTCCATGGGGTTGAGACTGGGTTTTCCAGGATGAAGAGCAGCTGTGCCGCAATTTGGTGGCTATACAGTCCCATCTCTACAGCTCTGCCGCATTCTTCGGCTCTCTCGAACATATTTTGACTCGACGCCCGCCTGTTGCTGAGGTTTTTGCACACCAGACAATGCCCCTCTTGCATTGCTAGAAAAAGGGAATATCCCGCGATGCGGCAGACCATCCACGAGTCCGAGGCCAGCATGATCGTCTCTACGGCCGGGTCACCGAAAGAAGTGGGCTTCTGGGAGAAGTGGATCATCCCGCTCTGTCTGATCATCACCACCGCTTTGAGTTCTGTCTTGATCGTTGCCCATTCTCTGAGGTGGACGGTCAACGGATCTTGGTACGAATCCTCCTTCGCGACCATCACATCTAAGCGCGCAGCCATTCAGTCCGGGATTCAGCTCCTTGCGGCGCTCCTTGCTCTCATTCACACCTCAACAGTCGCCGTCCTCATTCAGCATGGCTCCAGACTGGCCTTCTTCAACTCGGGTGGTTCAACGACACAAAACCTGAAAGGATGGATGAACTTGGGAATTCCACGCTTACGATGGGATCTACGGCTTCGGTTTCTCCTACCAATAATTGCATTTTCCGGCCTCGGTCTGATATCCTCCGCTCTGTGGGTTGGCGCAATGACGCCTGTTAGCAGCACTATCGTGGAGCAGGAGATCCTGCGAGTCCCTTCGTTCAAAAACACCACCCTGATCAAAGAATACCCTTCCGAAATTTCACGCGCAGGCCCATCGACCACAACAAAGCAAGGACTTTTCACTTACTCTGTTGGAGTAAAACTGCTGGGTAGTCTCATTGCTTCAGGGTCGTCAGCAACAACCTCTGATGGATCGGTCCGCAGACACGCCAAAATCGACAACACACAGTACATTTATGAAGGTCGCTCCTACGGTGTTGGATCATCAGTAGGCATTCAAGATACTGTCATCACCAACAGGACCTCGGCAGTAGATTACTCATTTCATGAAGATGGCTACTTGCCGCAAGTCCAGTGCTCCCACAACCGAAGCATGGACTTCGCCATCGGTTCACAATCTCTTTCCAGAATATTCGGGGTTTCAGGATGGCTTCCTGACAGCGTCGGCAGTCAACAGTACTCCGAGTACGTCGGACACAGCACTGATGCCATCGTCGCGGTTGGTGTGGCACATAGCCCTAAGTCAATTCGTCGCTACGTTTCCATTGCAGCAGGCAAAAGCTATCTTGCCCTGAACGCTACCCAGTGCACCATTGACTTCACACCTACTCGGTTCAACGTTTCTGTCGGCATTCGCGGCCGAAAAATTACAGTCCTTCCAGGTGGTCAGATCGACGACTTCGATTCGCAGCGCAACCTCACGCGGACTGTTGTGCGTCAATTCGAGCTCATTTCGAATGACTTGACAAACTTCTATGAGTCTATCCTAGGCAATGCATTTCTATCGAGTATCACCGCATGGAACATATCTTTCAACGAGAACGGCACAGTCCCAGAAGCCGAAACAACGCTACGTGGACTGGAAAACGCCGTTACTGCAATGACAGAGTCGATGTTGGCTGCATACGGAGCAGCGCAGCTCATGGTCGGAAACTTCTCCGAAGAAAGGGAAGCAAACGTAACAATTGGAGTTTTTGTCATCGGAGAAATTGTCTACGTTGTTGCGATCGCCATTCTCAACGCACTTGTGCTCTTGGCTGTTGTGGTAGAGACTATCCGTACCAGGGGATGGAAGGGCCTGCCGCCTTTTGACTTTTCCGACCCTGAATGGTTGATCACAGCGTCATTTCGAGGTGGCGAGCTGTCCCACACATGGAACCGAGATGCTGAAGGAACCGTGGTGGCTCAGAGCACTATGAAGGGACCTATTTCATCCTACACGCCCATAGAGCAACGCGGCGACGAAGATCAACATCATGTTGAAGTGATTTCTGAAGGAGGAGGTGGGCGCAGAGTTGCTTTGATGCTGCAAAGTCGCTGATTTGTACAAGCTCCAATGTATTTGGACCATTAGATGATCTATTTCCAACTAGCTTGTTCAGCAGCAGCCTGAAGTACCAATTATATATGTCTAATGTGAAACCTAATAGAAAACTCTTTGACATCGTATCCCTTAAGCTTGACAGTTCTTACGTCGACTAAAGCCGAAATCCGGTATCGTTGGGTTCCGAGCCCTGCTGTGATAGAGTCATTGAACGAATCAGGCTTGAAACCCTCTGAGATCATGGCATGCCAGTGATCTTCCTCCTCTTCACGATTAATATGACGAAGGAATGCTTGAATCCCAATATCTGTTGTGTCTGACCTCGATGGGGATGCATCCAGTAGCAAGATTCTAGGCCTCCCACTGCTTTGGATATGTCTCCGGTCGCAGAGCATCCATAGCTCAAGTTTTGTCGGCTGAAGATTCATAACCAACTTCAAAGCTTGCACCTGTGTAGAAAATCGAGGTGCAAAAAGAAGTCGACTACAAATATCCCACGATGTCCTTGGTAAAATGCGACTAATCGTGATACGCTTATCTATAGGGATGTGCACACTTTTGTGTCTCCCCCAAAGCGTGGTGTCGGGCCTGCGGTATGAAAGCTGGTCCTCAACTATGACGAATGAGGATTGGTACTCGGTCAGATGGTCGAGCTTATATGACATCAAAGCCATGGGCAAATTGCAATCTCGCCGGAAAAGGTCCGGCTGGACCTTTTCGAGAAAGATACCGCAACGGTGAGTTGAAGTGCCAATATCCAGGCGGAGAACGTATCGAATAATTCCTCCGTTATCCTCTTCTGGTAGCAATATAGGCTTGGGTACAATGGCGAGGCCTAAAATACCATCGGGACAAGGTCTCTGGATATCATTGTCTGACGGGATCACGACCATGCAAAGATTCCTTCCCATAAAGCGAGGGCCTCTGCTGGTCAGTTCCATCCCAATATCATAATTTCGAAAGCGTGTGATTGCTTGCGTTTTTTCATGACCGGCGAAATCCGCTGGAGATGAAGCGAAGGCCACTGAAGTTCGGGAGTGGAGGGGTCTGCGAGAATCCCATGCGAGTAACGAGGTATCGTCGTCCTTTTTGCAAATTTCCTCCTGTAGTCGTCGAAATGCTTTCTGACCTTCTCCGTAGAGCATTGGCATATTTATGTCGAAGATGCCTAATAACGAATATGCCATATCCTCCTTTCGTCTCGTGCTTCTTGTAGCCGCCCATGCCATTCGCGTCGCTACGGGGATGTCCCACAGGGGTGTCTTGCCAAGCAGCACGTCGCAGAGAATTCCGGTGATGTCTGAGATGATCTCGACCAAGGAGTCTTTCGTACCCAACAGATTCCAATCCTGATCATAAAACCGCACTTCAGCGGGAGCGAGCAATTCTTGAAGTGTCCAGCCTCTGGTAAACCATCTGCAGTGGCGTAGGTGCTTCTCCAAAGATCGTGTACGGGGCATGTCTGCCAAGTATGCGTAGCAGGCCTCCGCGTTATGGTAATATCTGAACATTGAATTGATCGATTCCGAAAGGTCCGCGCTGCTCGTTTTGTCAATGCAGCAGGTGTCTACCCAAGCATAGTCAACTCCACGAGCTCGAGCTAGGCGACACATTTCCTCGATTTTCTCGAACCCCTTCATGTTCTGGGCGACATCGATGTCTTGAAAATCTTGAAAGCTGACTTCCCCCTCATCCCAAGTATGAGATAGGATGACATAACTGGGGATTTCTTCGTCAAAGACCTCTTCTATTTTCAGTGTCCTCACATCGATGAGCTTCATCGTCGACGTCGACCATTGATGAAGAGTTGCAGCTGGAATCTGATTAGTACGCGTCAACAAGATCCTAGAGGTTGAAAGAGGCTGGGATTAATTTTGGGCTCCAAAATTGGAGATAAGAATTAGCCTAACCTCTTAGTCTGACTATTCTTACTGCATGTGTGAGCTGGCGTGCATGAAGTGCCACATGACCACCCCAAGGAAAGCCGGAGATGAGCCGAAATCCATTCTAAAACCAGTTCTGTAATGTTATTCGCTTACTGCAATATGCTGTCTCCTTGGTTTTCTTTTTCGTGTGAGAGGCTCAATCTGATCCTGTAGCAAAGCCATGTGTCAGATCTCATTCTGCCAGCGCATCATTCATATATATACGGCTTCTTCACTTATCAATGTTAATAGTAAACTATTGATATCGATTGGAGATGTAGAAAGGTCCAAAACGGTGTTTGTATTTGATTGATACTAATTGTAAATTTTTGTATTCAGTGTGACTAGTTGTTTGTTGAAGCGCCCGGAGTTGAATCATGGCATCCCTAGGTCATTATACACTCCATTTGCCGTAAGTCATCGTCCACAGCTAAACGCAATACAGGTACGTAGCTGGAAAACGCCTTCATTCAAGAAAAAGCAAAAGAAAAAAAATTGGCTCAACTTGTTGTTTATCGGGATGGCGACGTTGTGTCTTGATGTTGAAAGATGAGGTGCTCCTATCTTGCTCCTTCCCGTACCTCAATCTCGCCTTGTGTGACTATAATGGCTCAATCACAGTGCTTCTACTTCGATTTGCACCCCGGCTGTTCTTAGCCGATCAGCCAAAGGCTGTCCCAACGTTGCTGGCGTCAGAATCCCGCCTCCCAATTTCTGTGCGGCACAATCCTTCCCAGAGTCGAGTAAAATCATAGCTGCCTCAACCGCCATCATGCCCGAAAACACGTAGGAGTCGCCGTTGTATTTCAGCTTCGCCTGCACCCCTCTTTGGAGAAGAGGCTGCCCTTGGAAATCCTGCGCATTTTCTTTCAGGTCTGCGATAGCCACGCCGCGGTACTCAATAAAATTCTTCTGCCTTTCTTGCTCACTCGGTCCAGAGCCTGGTGGTACGAGCAGCTTTACCAACCATTTCACGGGCGGAAGAATCGCCGGGAGGATGGTCATAACCCAAACAAGAGACCAGAAAGCCCAACCATGCACTGCAGACGGGTATCGCTGAACGCTCCTGAAGTCGAAATTCGGACCGTATGATGTGAGCTTGAGGCCGCTATGTTCTGCCTGCTGCAGCAAACCCCATGTTCGTTGAACAATTGCTTGGTCATGCGCCCCCGTCATTCCAAATCCGAGCGTACCAAGTTTAAGTCGCTCAATTGTATCTTTGCTGACGTTTCTGCTCTCATCAGCCTGAGATCTCGCTGGACGGATAGGCGATAACGCCCAAGGCTTCCCGGCCTTAAGAATGTTTCTGAAGCCGTATGATGAGACAGAAGTTACTAAGCCATTCAGTGTACCACCGCTTGCTTGCACTCTCGAGCTATGGACTGATATCAGAGCAGCCGATGTTGGGCAGTCGAATGTCTCCTTGATCTTTTTAACCATGAGGCATGTGAGAAGGTCGGCAGGCAGACTGCCGACTCCACACGAAGGTATCATCTTTGAAGCGGCCATCAGTATTTAGAAATCTTATCTGAGTTTGTGTCACGGTGCTAGGGGAAGATCTTACCATGGCACCCGTTGACTTTGCAGTGTCTTCATAAGCTTTGATCATTTCCAGTACAGAAGGAGTCTCGCCGTTACTGACATAATGTCAGGGAAGATTTGTTTAAGGCCATAAAATGCTTTGAACTCACATGTCAACATAATGAGTCCCATTCTCCGCGCAGCTTTTGAACACCAAGACACCATGCTGGGGAAAAGGGCCCACCGTCGCAACCAAGCATCGGGTTTGCCTGGCCAGAGCAGCAAGCGATTTGGTCGTAAATTCGACGGGAATGACGTCTTCAAGTTCAGGAATTAGTCTAAGTTCGCCCCAAAAGAATTAATTTTGTAGAATCGATGGTTCTCACCTAGGTTCTGAGAAGTCTTCAGTCTGAGCTTTTCGGCCAACTTAGTCAATTTCGCCTCAGAGCGACCTGCGATGGCCCACTTCATATCATGATCAATCTCTGCGAGGTGCATCGCAGCGAAGCGACCTGTAAATCCTGTAGCTCCGAGAAGAACAACATCATACTCGCGATCTGAATTCTTGGTAAAACGAGCCATGATGCCGGCATCGATCGAGTTCATCGCTCCATCTGTGCAAAAGCGTTCGGAGGTCGTCTATACAATGGGTTGGCAGTATTTAAACGCATAACGAAGAACCATATCTGGACACAATCAGTTCCTCCGCAGACCGAATTGAGAATCCTTTGAAATTGTCACACTCGGAGATAGTGAGCAGTAGTAATTCATTGGTATTCAGTCGGACGAATCCAAGGCCCAAATCTGACTCCACAACCTTCCTTTGAATCTGCTTCTGTGGAGTTGACCTGTCTACCAAGATGGCGGCGTCTGACAGACAGAGCGCCGTCCAAAGTATCTCCGTTCGTCTTTCCCTATTGTTGGACTAGAAACCGTCGGACATGGGGCCAAAGTCCGCTTATGGCGCGTTTTAGTCGCCAAAAGTACCGAAGGATTCCCGTCGGTGCAGTAAGTTCATCCGCCCATCCGCACGAAAGTGAATGCCTGTCAAACGAGTGTTCGTAGCTGAAATAGACTGGACAGAAGTCTGTAGGTGAGTAGATGGCATTGTGCACGATCGAAGCGACGGCAGCGAACATGAAGATGGAATGGCGCAGCGATACAGACTTTTGAACAAAAAGCTCGGAAAGTATGAGTCACGGAGACAGCTCTCTATGATAGCAACAAAGAATACAGCATGGTTCTGTCGCATGATGGCACCCTCGGAGTCGTCTGTACTTTGCCGGCCGATGCCGGAAGCTCTCCGATAAAAACCCCGGAACCGGATGAGACGGAGACCACGGCGATGCAACCAAGTGGCGTCACTCCGTTTGAGCTGGGAATCCGACTGCCGAGCCGACTGCCAGATCAGCATCGCTGAGCCACACTACGGAAGACACCGGGGCCGGGTTCTCTTTTACAAGCCAGATTTCCGGACACCCTCTCCGGTTACCATCGAAGTCGCTTCGGAATCACCATTGCCACTCCCAGGCAAAGTCAATTCCGGTCTCAAACTCTTTAAGCCCGTCAGAGGTATCGAGATAAGATCGGACCAAATAAACGTGAAGCGCTTAAAATTTCCCGGAGGCGAAACGATCATGTGCAGATTGCGGGGTCCCATCTCCAACCAAGTCGTATCCAAGAATTGCGTGCTTGACCCCCAAGATAGCAACATCGCGCAGCCACCATTTCTAATCAGCACCGTCCTTGAGGCCGGTTCATGCCACCATTCAAGTTGCTGACTTCGATATGAATGGCGTCATTTCCCCTCCATCCACAGGACCCGATACCTCCATCTTTCGTCTCATGTACCCCAAGAAGCCAATGGACTGTAGTTTCGTAGCCATAGATCGGGGCCGCGTCGGCTGAATATTGTTTTCTTTGGGCGGTCGGGCAGACAACGCAATCCAATCCCTGCCAGCATGCAATTCTTCCGGTTGAGTGCCCCTCATCGGATAAGCTCCGACAGTCATGTCTTTTGGAGGGGTAATCTATATAAGAGCAATCGGACACTTTCCATAAGGTTGCGTTTCTCGTAAATAGGACAGCCTTGAAGACAAGTGCAATCATACGCATAATCAGACGACATGGCACCTTCAGCAACATCGACGTCCACCGTGACGGACCCGGCTAACTTGCCGGTGAACAACCTCCGCTTGTACGCTGACGGCTCCGGCGACTACAAGGAGCTGTCTCCTGTTGTTTACGACAAGGAGGCCGAGTCCAAGGGAGGAGATGGCCATGAGGGCGCCAAGGTACGTTCTTCCGAGAACCCCATTTCAGCATTCAGCGACTGATATGTATAATGTAGTATCCTCACTACCTCCCCACGTGGAACCCCGAGCAGAAATACCCCCCTCTGCAACCATTCCAGCACGTAGAACACGGAAAGAACGCAGACCCCAGTTTCCCCAACCTTCTCCCCAAGAGTGAGGCTCAGGTCACTGACCTGACGCCCACCATCGGTTCTGAGGTCAGGGGCATCCAGCTCAGCAAGCTCAGCGACGCCGGAAAGGATGAGTTGGCTCGCTACGTTGCCGAGCGCAAGGTCGTTGCTTTCCGCGGCCAGGACTTTGCCGACCTTCCCATCGACAAGGCCCTCGAGTTCGGCGGTTACTTCGGTCGCCATCACATCCACCCTACCTCTGGATCTCCTGAGGGCTTCCCCGAGATTCACCTAGTTCACCGCGCGGCAGGTGACCGCTCAGCGGAGCAGTTCTTCGCCACCAGAACCAGCTCCATTGCCTGGCACTCTGATGTCTCCTACGAGGCCCAGCCTCCCGGTACCACCTTCCTGTACATCCTCGACAAGCCCGAGACTGGAGGCGACACTCTCTTCTGCGACGCCGTCGAGGCCTACAGGCGTCTGAGCCCGCTGTTCCAAGAGAGACTTCACGGCCTGCAGGCGGTGCACTCCGGTATCGAGCAGGTTGCTGCTTCTGTGAAGAAGGGCAGCATCAAGCGCCGCGAGCCTGTTGCTAACACACATCCTCTTGTCCGCACACACCCGGCCACTGGCGAGAAGGCGCTCTACATCAACCCTCAGTGTAAGTCGATACTGAAGACGCCAAAATGCATACGCTAATTCAATAACAGTCACCCGTGAAATCGTCGGTTTGAAGAAGGAAGAGTCCGACGCTCTTCTCAAGTTCTTGTATGAGCACATTGCTTGGGGCGCAGACTTTCACGCCCGTGTGAAGTGGGAGGAAGGCACCGTTGTCGTTTGGGACAACAGAGTAACTCAGCACTCTGCGCTCGTTGACTGGAACAATGGCTCCCGAAGGCACCTTGCCAGAATCACTCCTCAGGCCGAGAGGCCATACGAGACCCCGTTCAAGGGTTAAGATTTGAGGATGAGTGAGGCTGCGAGGGGTCGGGTGTGTAGATCAGAAGGCTAGCGAGGTCATCTAGGGACCATCTGAACCAAGAATGGTGGTGTGTCCGCAGTAAAATGCTGCAAGAATACTGATGGAGAGACTTGAATCATGATGAATGCCAATTTTACGATTTCTGATAGTCTCACCCTTGACTTGCGATCGCCTTGAATTCGCCTGAGGAATACAGAGTATTTTTGATCTCATGTTGCCACAACGGGCTCAATGGTCTTAAGTTGAGAAAATCACGGTGGAAGGGGTAACTCGAAGACCCTTGCCCATGCAGTCGGGTTGCCTGTCAGTGGTACAAACCATTTTGCATATCCATTCCCCTGGGAACGACTGTTTCCAACATTGGAATAGCTCACTCTACTCGACTTGCCGAACTGAGGCTATTTTCGAACTGTGTCTCCCTGCGCAAGTCACTGATAAGATCCAGACTTGCATCGAACCTTCGATGACAGGGGCAGACGACAAAGACTAAAGGCTAAGATAAGCCTGAAATTGTAGCAGCGTTGGTTGGACTTCGAGACGTCCGCGCTGCGCCAGGGTGGGCTGTCCATTTGGCTGTTGTCTGATTGGTCGGCTCTTCGACATCGCGCATATTTCTCTGTCGCAATCCCATGGCTAAGATCACGCAATGCCGTTCCCATCCCTTTTTCGTTAACAAAACGTGCCGGCTAGCATGCAACCCAAATCAAATGTGAAGAGCCAAGAGGTTGGGCCTGGATTATCCTCGTCTTTCGACGAACTATCCACAGGAGGCAATTCATTCGCCATCTCACCAAGACAGCACTAGCAGAATTTCCCCAGTCGGCATATGCGCCGTCCCACGAATGAGCCCCCCATGGTCCCAGACGGGATTCCTTCCGCTTAACTGAGCCCTTTGTAAGCTTGTTTATTAGTCTTCGGCTGCTCCATTATCTGTCACTGATCATTCCCGAAAGCTGGAACCACTCCGGATCCTACTCGACCCCCCCACGGGCCCGTTACGAGTCGTTGACCATTGATGCACAGCGCAATTCCGTGAAGCAATTGCACCATAGATAAGACGGCTCATTCGCTGAACAGCTCGAATCGCTTATGGTGCGATCGCCCTGGATCATCGCGACACTGCGGCCAGTATTTTCTTCTCTGCATCCCTGCCATCCGACGTCAAGCCGGAGAGTTGAGATGAATTACGCGTAGAGACCAATGCCCAGATTGCCGGGTTCATGGAGGGCACCTATAAAGGTTCTTGCATCTCCGCGGAACCATACCAAACTGCCGGGATTGCGAGTTTGTGATGCATCTGTCGAGGCTCTAATAACACCTGCAAGGACTGAAACAACTGTGACAATTCCCGCTGTTCAGAGTTGCCGGTCATTCAGCCATGGCTTCAACCAACACTGGAGGGCCCTTCAGGGACCATCCCGAGGAGACCAAAGACGTTAGCACCTCCCAGTCGCAGGCCACGGACGCATCATTGTCATCGGTGAGGGAAGTGTCCGATAATGCGTACGGTTCAACGGACGAGCATGTTTTCTCCGACCCCAGCATCGCCGAATACTGGCGCAAGGTGTACGAGAAGGCGCAGTACGAGAACCGACACCGTTTCGATCCGAGCTACCAATGGTCGGCAGAGGAAGAGAAGAAGCTGGTCAGAAAGGTACCGTTGACTCACCTGTTGATTACGGAACAAAACGGATTCGAATTGATGCTAACCTGGATGTGTGTAGATCGACAAGCGTATCATGGTTTGGGCTTGGGTTATGTTTTGCGCCCTGGATCTGCATCGTCGTAATATTAACCGAGCGATTTCTGACAACATGGTATGTATGCCCATGGGAAGACGATTGAATACGAATGCCAACTAACCTGTTCATTCAAAAGCTTCCGGAACTCGGCATGAACACGAACGATTACAACTATGGCCAGACGGTTAGTGCACCCAAAACATTCTGGGACACATTTAGACTCACACTCGGGGGTAGATCTTCCTTCTGACGTTCCTCTCCGCGGAGTTGCCGAGTGGGCTCATCAGCAAGAAGCTCGGTGCCGACAGGTGGATCCCAACCATTATGGTGGGTTGGTCTATCACGGCTGGCTGCCAGGCCTTCTTGTCGAGTCGCGCTGGCTTCTATGCCATCAAAGCACTTCTTGGCCTGTTGATGGGCGGTTTCATCCCGTGAGTGGCCGTTCGATATCGAGGATTGTTGGACGTTGCTAACTTATCTTAGCGACATTGTCCTTTGGCTCACCTACTACTACAAGTCGAACGAACTCCCGCTCAGACTCGCCTGGTTCTGGACTGCGCTCAGCACTGTCAACATCGTGGGATCCTTGCTCGCCGCAGGTGTTCTCCAGATGCGAGGAATCGCAGGATGGTCTGGTTGGAGATGGCTGTATGTAAACCCGTCATGCATGATGTGGATCCTCCGACTAACGGTGCAAAAGGTTTCTCTTGGAGGGAATTGTGACCCTCATCATCGGCATCTTTTCGTGGGGTCTCATGCCCCCTGGTCCCTGCCAAACAAAAAACTGGTTCCGGGGTAAGAATGGATGGTTTTCCGACCACGAAGAATACATCATGGTCAACCGCCTGCTGCGGGACGACCCGAGCAAGGGTGACATGCACAACCGAGAAGCAGTCGGCCCCTCTCAGCTGTTCAAGGTCGTCAAGGACTGGGAGCAGTGGCCTCTATACCTAATCGGGTTGACCACATACATCCCGCCTTCCCCGCCGAACAACTACCTCTCCTACATCCTTCGCAAGCTGGGATTCTCTGTTTTCCAAGCTAACCTTCTCGCCATTCCCTCGCAATTTCTCTTCGCCGTCAACCTACTCATTATCTCATGGGTCTCTGGAAAGTTCAAGGAGCGAGCCATCGTCTCGTCCATCTCCAATATTTGGATCTTTCCATGGCTCGTGGCGCTCGTGGCTCTACCTGCAAGCTCGAGCACCTGGATCAGATATGCCCTGTTGACTGGTCTGCTAAGTTACCCTTACTGCCACGCCATCTTGGTTGGATGGAACGCGAAGAACAGCAATGCGGTGCGAACAAGAGCTGTCAGCGCGGCGCTGTACAACATGTTCGTGCAGGCGGGCAATATTGCTGCGTCCAACATCTACCGAGATGACGATCAACCTTTGTACCGCCGCGGAAACAAGATCCTTCTCGGAATCTGCTGCTTCAACATTGTGCTGTTCTACCTGGTCAAGGCATTTTACATCTGGCGGAACAAGGTTCGCGATCGCGCATGGAATGCTCTGACGAAGGCGCAACAAGAGGACTATACCCTCAACACAACAGACGAGGGCCAGCAAAGACTCGACTTCAGATTCGCGCACTGAAAATTGCTTGTTGTGGAGTTAGCTAGGCCAACCGGTTGTCACGAGGAGGCTCGGAGGAGGCTCGACGGCCTGTGGCTGTCAAAATGGAGCGCACGAGCAGCGGCTATGGGACTGAACAGGATCGCATATAAGCTTAGCATGGATAGAAATTAGACGTCAATATTTGATATGACAACGACCAATTCAATACCATAGACTCGAGGCAACTGGTGATAAGACGTCGATTTCATGCTTCGTGAGTTCAAGGAACCAACAGAGACATATATCCTGGACAAAAACGCTCAAGCCACACGAGAGCCCGTGCGTAACATATGCAGAGATTCCCTCTGAGGTGACACGAAGACCGATGGTCGCTTTTAGAGATCGAAACCTTTTACTTACCAGGACGCACTTGTGGTCTATTTATTGCACCTAATTTGGCTGCTCACAAGCAGTATAGCAGCTGTGTAGGTTTCCATCGTCATTAGAAACGTTGCTGATAACCTCTTTGATGCTCTTGAAGTCGTATACTGGCGATCAGATTCTCGTGTGGCGCCTCAGACGCAATCAAAGGCTAAGCTTATCGGGAATAGAGTCAATTGAAGGCAGGGTCCCTGGTGCCAGTAGCCTATCAAAACACGGTCTGAGAGACACTACCATTTCGGCACTGCAGGCGATACCATTCCGGGCGCTATCTCCCACCGTCGGAGGGATTGTGATCCTGGCGCGGCATGTAAAATGATATGAATCCTCTCAGGGGCTTGGCCACACCAAGGCACCAGCATTTGATGATTTCTCTGTTGATGCACTTTTCCACCGCCATGCCGTCAACATTGCGATCCTGAACATCACAACGAATGGTGGTATAAGACTCTTACAGCCACGGCTGACACACAGAATCCACGAACAGCATCGCATTCACCCCGCCAACCCGTGACAGCAATGGGCAGCGTTCCTTGGGGAGGGCCAGCATGGGCTGAGCTTGACGTTACCCGAAACTGCACCGCGTTCGGCGCCTACGCTGCTTGGGTCACGACAGACGACAACGAGCCGCCATTTCCCACCGTCGCGAGCTTCTGGCGTGCTGTTGTTCCCGAGGTCAATTCAACGCAGTCAAACAATGCGCAAATCATCGATTGGCATCAATGGGTTCGCTCGAACAGGACTACTCTGGCCCGTCAGGTGGCAGAAATCTCGTCATGTCGGCCGGAGTTGTGCCAGGCCATTGGCTCCGAGATTGACGGCGGCCTCGCTGGCTTTGGGGTGAGCACTTCACATTTGCCTCGTATGTTAATCATGCTAAATAGTAGCAGCTTCTCGCCTCCTACGGTCTCGAAACCGTATTGTTGACCATCTACTGCACATTTGCTCTGCTGCGGTACGTCAACAACCGAAAGCATAGGGCTAGCTCGCCCAACGAAGCCCAGCAATCACATGAAGCTGTCAAGTCTGGCTTCGTCAGTCGCGTTAATGAGGCTTTGAGAGGTACAACATACGACCTCTTTACCGCCGCTGCATTCCTCTCCCTCGGAATCCAGGCTACTGTCATCTACAGCCAAGTCTCTCCAATTGCATATCGCTACAACTCCTCCTTGCAGCTCATCGTGTCGGCCTTTGCGTTCTATCCTTTGGCAACGATGCTTCCGCTCATCCTCAACTCTGTTCGTCGGAGTTGGCTCAAGGGCGCCGTTCTCGTCGGGTTGTTCGTCATCCACACCGCAGCTTGGGTGCTCTGCACGAATAACGCCCAGGTAGACTATTATCACAACTCCAACGTCATCGGCCTTTGCCCCCAAAACCATCCATCACAGTCTGTTGTATCAGCGGCCATGTTCACCATGGCAGCCATGGTTTGGATGCCACCGCTCTTTGGGTTGTGTCTTAGCGTCGTCCTATGCTTCTACAGATGCAACAATCGCAAGATGTGGCAGGCAAAATGGTTCAAAAAGGTTGCTAAGGGGGCTATGATTATGTACGCGTCCTTCAACTTCATTTGCATGTGGGGCGCTTGGATCATTCTCATCGTGTTCTTTAGCGGCGCATCGTGGAAGTCAGAGGATGTTTGGAGTTTGGGGCAGGCACTTGCTCTCACGCCATGGGTTCCAGTGCTGGTCGAACTCATGTCCATCTTCTTTCGTAAGTTCAACCCTCTTGCAATTCGGCAGTCCTCGAGCTAATATAAGGTAGTTGGCACCGAGATTGGCTTCGTTGGTCGTTTACCCCTGGAGTTCAAGGTCATCCGCGGTGAGAAAGCTTTGCATCGCCAAGAGGGGGATTCCTTCTTGGACGAAGCTGAGGTTCATGGCGGCAATGGGGCTTGATGTTACCTGAAGGTAAAGGAAGTTCATAGAGTCCTCTTTCTGATACTTACAATCTGATTCCTCGATGTTGCAAGAACGGAAAACTCTCACATGTGTATGTTCGGTGTCCTTTCGAGGCCCGATTGATGAACCATGAACACGGATTCAACTGCGGTAGACACCTGAGATCAGTGATTGTTTCTAACCGAATCACTTTAGCTATCCATGGATGTGTGCCAAACCAGCGCCAGTGGCGCGTCTCAATGGGCAAGTGACCGCATATCAAATTCCAGGATCTTGAGTCATGGAGCTATCATTTGTTCCTTGACTTTGTTCATGAAGGTTCGTAGCGCAGCTGGTTGGGTGTCACCAAGGGCCGTTTTTAGCGTCGGGGCTGAACGCCAGCAAACCCGCCCACCGGCAAAGCTAGCCACCATCATTCTCCTCGCTGTCAGCACTACTTGTATCTATAATCATACTCGCCGTCATCACCTCCGATAACAATACTCGCGCATTGATTACTCATCAAGTACAAGTGCTCTATCCAAGTTCGAAGACTACTTGCCGTACTTCCTGATCTTTGTAAGAGGAGTTTATGATTGCTCGGAGCATGATGACCGCTAAAAGGCAATAGCAAGCGCTGTCTGGTCTAGCTCCCTCGGTGGTTCTCTACCTCAAAGATCCAACATCGTCAATGGTTTCGTTCTCGGGCTATGCGCGACCTCCTCCGACGAAACTACAGGCCCATCTGTATGGCATTAAGAATGTGTACACTGGCTTGACCAGACTCTACGCTGCGTACAATATCAACAATCCTCAGCTCTACGACCTTGCAAAATGGACTTTTTCTGATGTACTATTTTTTTTTATCTCACAGGATTCAGCGTGTGAGACGCTGTCAGGGCCAGGGCGCTCTTGTTCCCTTTGATCACTGATGGTGCGAACTTGATCTGGATGCTGTGGGCTCGAGGGTCTCATCTACAATGGCTTCGGACTATATTTAGCTCAGTTGATCCAACGATAATTAATTTAAATGGATTCGCAAACGCCTCGTCAAGAACGGTGTATTTCAAGAGTTGAGGTATTGGAACAGAAATATCTTGAGCCCAATTTACTTGTCATTAACGGTAGGCCCTCGACTGGGTTTGATGTTGCCCGAAGTCGCGTGTATGTTCCAAGCGCGGAAGGTGGAATGGGAAAGACGGCTCTCGCAGTCGAATTCACGTACCGATACGAACAGTCATTCGAGTACATTTTTGGGGTTCAAGCTGAGACACCAAGGGCTCACGGCCCCTTCTCGGCCTATCAACTATTACCGCCGGACCCTTGAGGAGCTTACAGATAGTGAGGGAAGGGACATAATACTTCACGCTCTTCCACAAGAACTTCAACCGGCAACGCGTTCCATGAAGGATCCTGAATTCAAAGCAGCTGGGGATCTGGCGTTACTTGCTGGTCTCCCGTTGATTATTGTCCTGATCACGGGCCACGTGAGGGCCATAAATTGTCAGCCATCAGAGTTTTCCAGCTACTGGGATGCCTGGTGGGTGGACAACAACCCACATGCCAGGACAGAAGACAGAAAGACTTCAAAGGACAAATTGGAGTCTATCAAGAAGATATCAGTCAACGATTTGAGCAGCGATACAAGCAAAGTCCTTCGTATTATGTCGTTCCTCGACAGCGATGGTGTTCAGGTTCAGAAGGAGCTGCTAACACTCGAAAAAGGTCAACAGGGACCCAGTTATCTACAAACCTGGAGGTGTGTATTATCAATCAATTTATTAATTACTCAATCAAGCTAATAGTTGAATAGGGACGGGGCCATACTCAGGGAACTTGTTGCTAAGCACTTCATCACTGAGCAAAATCACAACGGCAAGCAGACTTATATCGTGCATCGATCAGTTCAAGCTCGTATTCTACGGAAACTACATCAGAAATCTCATCAAGCAGTGGAACTATTCAAGTTGACTGCTGACCTTGTTCGTCGTCGGCTTCCGCGTCCATCATTGGAGACCCCAGACCCTCAGGAATGGAATCAATTTAAGCAATACCTGCCTCACGTCGCCACTCCGCAACGAATATACTCAGACCAAAGTACTGTTGTCACAGTAGCTCCCTTTCTCGAACTTGCAGAGTTATTCAAAGATGGAGGTGTATTGTTATGGCAACGCTTCCTGCGAAACGACGCGATGCGACTCCTGATAACGGCTGAGAGAATCTTGGATCAGCTTGAAACTAGCCACGAGGACATCAAGGCCGAGATACACGTCACCATGAATCTTCTACTGCAGTACCTTGGTATATCGCGCAGGAGAGAAATCACCGATCGCGCACAGGAGATCCTTGAGTTCCACAAAAGACGCACTGCTAGGCTTTGAATTACCTATACTATAGATACCTACGGGTAGCTATATAAATAGGTTAGGTTATAGGTAGACCTAGGCTATAGGTAGATAGGTTTACTAGGTATATAGGTAGATATAAATATAGGTATAGGTAGAGATTCTACTTATACTTATAGGGTTATAGGTAATACTATACCTCCTAAAGTTATAGTATATTATAATAACTATTATAATAATCTTATATAAAATTTTATTTTAGTAGTATAGGTCTATAAATAGAAACTTAATTACTATATATTTTTAAAATATATTATATATAGTTTTTATTATTTAGTTTTATATTCTTATTACTAGATTTTTTAGACTTTTAATCTAACTAAGTTATTTCTTACTCTATAGTTCTAAAGTTATTATTTCCTATTTATATTATTTAATATTTAGGGATTTTTTATTCTAAATCTATATTATCTAGTTATATATCTAATAGCTTCTTATATTTACTATTATTCTCTTATATTATTTTAAAAGAACCTTTTTATTTAATACTAAGGATATTACTATTATTTCCTTTATTAGAAAGTTCTTTAGTTATAGAACTATTTTCTATATTTCTATTAGTTATATTACTACTACTAAAGATTTCTTATAGAGTATAACCTCTATTAAAGAAGGCTTAAATCTTATTATAGAGGCTAATATTCTACTTATCTCTATTACTTTACTCTTTATTCTAATAGTTATTAATTACCTTAGATATATTACTATTATTAAGTAATTTCTAGTTATTATTAATATAATTAGTCTTCTCTTTATCTATATTACTTAGCTCTTTATTCCCTTAGTCTTTATTCCCTTAAGTTTTATTCCCCTAAACTTTATTCCTTTAGGTTTTATTTCCTTAAACTTTATTTTTTTAAGCTTTATTTTTTTAGGCTTTATTCCTTTAGGTTTTATTCCCTTAGGCTTTATTCTATTAGTTATTAGTTCTCTCTAAAGTATTAATATTATTTTTAGTTTAGGGAGTAATATTTCTATTTATAATAATTTTAGAGGAAATAATTATATTAGTAATATTAAGGTTATTCTAAGTGTCCTAATAAGTATTAGGAGATAGTAATTAAAGCTAGTTAGGATATTTTAATATAGTAGTATCTAAGAATATATTTAATTTATAGTTACTTAGAATAGAGATATTATCTTCTTAATTAATTTTAGTTTTTTTCTTTACTTTAAGTATATTTATAGACCTCTTTTACTTTATAGGAGTCTTCTTAATAATAATACCTTTTTTAGTTTTAGGAATAGTTTTATTACTTTTAGATTTATATTAAATAGTTAAGTTTAGTTTTAAGGTTATATATAGATAATTCTAGAACTAAGTTTTACTAATAGCTTTTTAATAATAGTTAATATATATAGTATATTTTAAAATAATATAAGTAAAGTAAAATAATAAAATAGAAATAAAATAAAGTATTTTTTTATATACTACCTAACTATAAAGTATTTATTCCTTAGGATAATATATAAATCTTTTTAACTAAAGTAAGATCTTTAGTATTAATAGTAATTTAGTAGGTATAAATAGCTACCTATATATATACTGAAAAATATTAATAAAGAATTTAGAAAAGGAAATAAAAATATATTATTAAATATAGAAACTAAGAGGGCTTTAGAACTCTCTTATAATACTTTAAGAGTAGAAGTTTAAATATAGTTAAGCGTAGTAGAGCAAACCTTATAGTATTTAAATATAATCTCCCTAATAAGATTCTTAAAGGATATCTTTAGAATTAAAGGCTTATATAAGGTTTAGATATAATATATTTCTTAAAGAGTATAGTTTTTAAAATATTAGTATTATAATAATTTTTGAGAATTATAATAATCTGATTTATATCTAGGCTTATACTTATAAGCTAGTACTTACTATCTAACTATATAGGATAGCTTTTTTATAATAGTCTTATAAGTAGTCTTAGGAGTAGTCTTACTAGTAGTCTTATTAGTAGTTTTATTAATAGTTTTACTAGTAGTCTTAGGAGTAGTTTTATAAGTAGTTTACTTAGGTATATTTCTAATACTACTTACGCTATTATTATATTAGCATATAAGTATTATAGATTTATATTTATAAGAAATTAGCTTTTGAGAAAGGATAAAGATATTAAAATAAAAATACTTATATAGATAGAAGAATAAATTATATAAAGTTATAGTAGTAATATATTTATAGAGAGAAGAAAAAAAATAACTCTAATTAGTTAGTAGATTTAAAAAGAGGGGTTATATATATTAATTATATTATATCTAGGATTTAGTAGATATAATATACCTCTATTACTATAGTAATAGTAACCTTTACTTTAAAATAATTATATAACTTATATAAGTAGTCTATATAGCTATATTATAGAAATTTTAAATCTACCCTAATAGAATTAATCTTACCTCTTATAACTAATAAAATAAAACTATTATAAGTATAATTTTAAATATCTTAAATTATTTATACTAAATCTCTCTAATCTATCTATTAAGGTATACCTATAGATATATCCCTACTACTATATATTTATAGTTTATACCTATAAAGTTATTATAATAATCTATAGTATTATTATAATAATTATTTCTATAAGTTACCCTATTAGCTTTAGTATAAGAGAGAAGTAGAAGGTTATAGGGGATTATTTTATTAATCCTTATATTATAAAGGTATAAAAATATATTAATAATATAACTAATATTAAAGCTAAGTTTTACTAGCTAAAGTAGTAGCTAAATATTAGAATAATATATATAAAGAAAATAATAATCTAAGAGTATTTAGATTAGAATTCCCTAAATAAAGTATAGTAAAATACTATAATTAAAGAAATAAAAATATAAGTATATTAGAATACATAAGTTATATTTTTAAAGGGTTTAGAAATTTATTAATAAGAATTTAAAATAGATAGAGGATATTACTTATCCTAATTTAATCCTTATTTTATTTTATTTATTCTAATTATATTATTACTACTTATATATTTAGCTATTAGTATAGTAAAAAATATACTAAAGAAATATAGATAACTTACTCTAAAACTTAGACCTATAATATAGCTATCCTTAAATAATCCTTAGTAAGTATTATAGGAACCTAGCTACTACTCTTATAATTCTTTAATTAGCTTATTTATATTTAACGTTTAAATATAAAGAACTTATTAATATTATATTTAAGTTTAAGATATCTTTAAAGATAATTATAGTTTAGATTAAGAAGATATTCCTCTATATAAACTAATTAAGTTTAAATAAGATTTTTTAGTTAAGATTATAATTAATTTAAACTTTAAAAATAAAGATAGAAGTAGATAAGAAGTAGAAAGTAAATAACTTTAATATAAAATAAAGGTTATCCCTAAAGTTATTAAGTATATAAGTTTTTCTAAATATTATTAAGGAGTTCTTATTTATTCTTTTTTAGTAAACTACTATTATTAGATATTAATAATTCTATATAATATAGTTTATAATCTTAGACTTACTTTAGTTAAAGTTATTATATTTCTATTAGTTTCCT